TCTTAACCTTTCTTTCTTCATTTTTCTTCCTCTCCTTCTAGTTATTTAGGGATTAAGCTATGTAATTTTGGATTCAACACTCGAATTCCAAATCGTAAGTTCTTCTCTTTATTTTTAATTCATGAAAAATGATTGAATTGAGAGAGATTATGGATTGTGTTGAATTTAAATTACGTAGCTAATTTTTATTGCTAGGGATAGGGGATGATTGTTCTCGTTTGAATTGTACTTGTCGGGCTTCGATATGTTCATACTTATGTGCGTTGTTTTGATAAGGAATTGATAGAATCTTGTTTGATTGGTTGATATAATCGAAGAGTAACACTTTGATCTTGCAATTAGAAATAATTGAATATTGATTAGTCGAGTTAGGGTTTTGTTGATTCGATATGATTAGTTGATTAATTCTCTTCTAATTTAATTAGCGACTTTAGAACCGGAAGGGGAGAAGTCGTAGAACTAGGCTCGCATGAGGTAGATAATTTCGTAGTTGAATAGTCTATATGTTTTGGATTGAAAGACGTGCTCGACGAAGACCCGTCCCTTGTTACGAAAAGTTATTGGGATTGGGATAATTGGCCTGTGTCGTGTGCTCAAACTTGTTCGTCTATGTTCAATCCCTTGTTACAAAGAGTTATTGGGAGCGAACTGCTAGATGTATAAGAAAGAGTGTCAATCTCGAACTGAACAATTGATAGCCCGACTTTGCTAGAACTTGAATTAATTATTCCCGATTCCCCAGCTTCTTCGTCTTTGTTTCGTTTATATTTTAGGTAGATTATTGCTTTTATTTTATTTCTTAGCTGATAATTCATCCAACCCGCTATTTAATTAGTATGTTTAGGATTTTCTTTGCTTTTATGTGTTATCGATATCAGAACTAAATTCCGAACCGCCTTCCTTGTGAGATCGACCCGGGGAACGAATCTTTCGATTCGGTACTCGGTAAATAGAATAATTTGTACACATCACTCGTCTCACAATCCTTCATCCTCCACGAAAACCCTACCTAGCATCTTCTCCGCCCGTCCGCCGCGACGCACACAATCACCCACTCCATCTCCGGCTTCGGCGCTCTAAAGTCCGATTTTCCCAAATCGCCTTGCTCGGTCCCTCCTGCTCCCGCACACACTCCACCCAGCAGGCTGTCACTCGACGGCGACGCTCGTCTTCTCGCCACCCAAATCCCCTCGTAAGGGCTACAACTCAGGTTCGTAATTTTCTTTTATGACTTTGAATCTCTCGTTCTTCGTGGAAGTTTTAACTCGTGAGTCGTGATTCATTGTACTGACTGCACCCAACCAATTCAAGCTCGTGTTTTTTTTGGGTTACTTTTTATGCCTATGATTTGAGCTGCACGGTTGTAGTTTTTGGGTTTCCAAATTGTTAACATGATGAAGCAGTTACTGGCCTATTTTATGTTACTGACCAATTTGCTTATGTTACCACCCAAATCCCTTGTTGACATAAATTATTATCCAATTCGTTTGATTAATGAGATAGGCCAGCAGCAGTCCTCTGAAAAGTATCTTAAGCTTGATAAGAAAAATAATTATGAGGTGGATACTAAAGTTTACAAAGGGAAAAATAAATAAATAAATATAGTAATAAACCATACTGCACATGATTTTTTTTGACTGATAATGACTATAGTTTTAGTTCTTTCTGCACAGAGTTAAGTGACAAAATGCACTAGATTGCAAAATTGGTGGTGTGAGCCCTTTGCAAGAAATGTAAATAAGTATTTTAATGGTTAATATAAAGCATTATGGAGAGGGCCTCATAGTATTATAATTGATGCAATCTACTGAGAAGATTTTGACACAAAAAATAATGAAGCAATAAACAGAAATCGATATTTTGCTTTCTTTTATTAAGTCCTTTTCTACCTTGAGTCCTCATAGTAGCTTCTCTTGTTTTGTGGTCTTTGAAGAAAGAAGGACTTGCACATGGTCTTTATCGACCTTAAGAAGGCTTATGACAGAGTATCGAGGAATGTCATGTGGTGGGCCTTAGAAAATCACAAAGTCCCATCTAAGTACATTACCCTCATCAAGGATATGTACAAGGATGCGATGACGTGTGTTTGAACATGTGGGGGCGATACCAGCGACTTCCCAATTAAAATAGGACTACAACAGGGGTCAGCATTGAGCCCTTATTTATTTGCCTTAGTGATGGATGAGGCCACAAGGGACATACAAGGTGATATCCCTTGGTGTATGCTCTTTGCTGATGATGTGGTGCTAGTTGACGAGAGTATGCCAGGGGTAAATAGGAAGTTAGAGCTGTGGAAGGACACGTTAGAGTCGAAAGGCTTCAGACTTAGTAGGACGAAGACCGAGTACATGACGTGCGCTTTCAGCATGGCTACTCATGATGACGGTGACGTTAGCCTTGACGGGCAAATGGTGACGTTAGCCTTACGGGCAAGTGGTGGCCAAGAAGGAGACTTTCTGGTATTTAGGATCGATGCTACAAAAGGATGGCGGCATTAAGGAAGATGTTAGGCATAGAATTGCGGCCGGTTGGTTAAAATGGCATCAAGCTTCGGGCGTTCTTTGTGATAAGAGGGTGCCACAAAGGCTAAAAGGTAAGTTCTATAGGACGGCGCTTCGCCCGACGATGCTATACGGTGCTGAATGTTGGCCTACAAAAAGGAAATATGTCCAACAACTAAGTGTAGCAGAGATGCAGATGTTGCATTGGTTTTGCGGGCACACAAGAAGGGATAGAATGCGAAATGAGAATATTCGAGATAGGGTCGAGGTGGCTCCAATTGAGAAGAAATTGGTTCAACATCGGCTGAGGTGGTTCGGACATGTCCAACGAAGGCCTCCTGATGCACCGGTGCGTAGAGGAGTTCTACAGCGGGCCGATGTTGTTAAGAGAGGTAGAGGTCGGCCTAAACTCACTTGGGAAGAGTCGGTTCAGAGAGACCTTAAAAGTTGGAATATCTCCAAGTATTTAGCGGTGGATAGGAGCGCTTGGAGGCTAGCGATCAACGTGCTGGAACCGTGACTTTTACTCCTTTCTTCTTTCTCTTTTGCTCCAATCTTCTTTTTTTTTCTTTTATTTTATTTTTTTTTT